AAAATGGGCCGCCCGCCCTGCCCACCTTGCCTTAAGCCCGCCAAAAAAAAGACGAGACGGGCTAGTCCTCCAAGTGGAAATGGCCATAAAAATCTAGCTCGCCCCGCCGCCGTCTGGTTACTTTTTAATTTATTTTTTTCTCTCATTATTTTTATAGATTAATAGGCTTGTTTTTACATTTCAATTAGATTTTTCACTTATTTTTTAGAACAATTTTTACAAAGCATCTTTTTAACAAATTTTACTTCAAAAAATATTGCATATATTTTTAAATAAATATATAAAATAAAACCATCAAGAATTGGAATTACTAGAATTAACTAAAAAATGTGGGATTAAGGTGAGACAAGCTGATCGAATAGGTGCAACGGGCTTTCGCATGTGACAGGTTTTGGCAGGGCGGGCTTTGGCGGGTGGCGGTCTTTAGCAGGGCGAGTTTTAGTGGGCGGCGGGCCCAAAATCTCAACCCAACCCGCCATTTTTTGGCACGGGCCATGACTCATTTTATCACCTATAGTTTAAAGGTTATGCCAAGAGGTAAAATGATTTGGATGTGTTGGATTATTTTTGGGTTGCAAGTAGAGTATTTATGACTTTCAAGCTTTTACAACACGGGTCTAATGCTCGAGACTATGGCTGGACTTTACACCCAAGTAGTTTTTTTCCTTCCATTTGATGTTATGAAAAATGTCAAAGTTGTTTAAGTTAGTCATTTTTTGGATTTTCTTGAGAAAAGAGTTTGATGTTGGATCAAATGTTTTTATTTGCATTGCGGAATGGAAATGATTTGAAAATAGTTGATGGTGAAATGTTTTCGAGTTGATGGTGAAAATGGTCGAAAGAAATAAAAGTTAAGAATCGTAACACAAGGGCACGAATTGCATCGCGGAGGGCGTGAATTATAGCATAGTGACGCGAACTCTAGCGCAAGGCATAATTTAACGCCACAAATAAATCGAATCGAATATGTACAAACTAAGCAACAAGATAAAAGGATACAAGTGCATACATAATATTTACATCATACGTTCGTCATAATTGAATTGAAAATATTAAAGCAAAATCAAACGTGCACGAATCAAAATCATGACGCGAGGACGCGAATCGATGTCGCATAACCCGAAGACCTGCAACTGAAAACTACCAAAAGTTGGATTTAAATTCGACTTAAATTTAATGACGTTGGATTGTTTTATCTCTATACAAATCGAATTGCAAATTGCTAACACACAATTCACTCATCACAAATAAAATCGAAACACAACAAAATATAACAATGTGAAAGCAAAAGTCATATGTTGAAGCACAAAATGGCAAAAAGCAAAAATGTGGATTGTTGCTATCCTAAACCATCGTAAGCGCATATGAAATTGCATTAAAACTTAATGACAAACAAATTGAAAATGTTGCACACAAACCAATAAAAATCCCAACAAAATACTAACGTTTAACATGATCATTGCAAATGGATCAAAATACGTACGAAAACCAACATCGGGAAATAGAAATGTAAAGAAAAAAAACTTAACGTGAAAAGACATAATGTAACACAACTTAAAGTTAATGTGTGCGAATTATAACATAACGCAACTAAATGTGTAGAGTGATTAATAAATTTAGCATCGTTGCTAACACAGAAATGCGATCATCGCAATTAAATTGAATCAAAGCAAATGTCATGCATGACATACATAAATGCAAACAACGTATCGACATGATTCGATCTGAACAATATAACCAAAAGCATAAATAAATCAACACATCTCACACATATTATTATTATTATTATTATTATTATTATTATTATTATTATTATTATTATTATTATTATTATTACAACAATTAGAAAATTATTACAAATATCAACATAACTGAAACCAAAAGAAACAACAGAAACCAAATGTACCGATATTGAAAGGCATGGAAACAAAATACACAAACGAAACAGAAACAGAAATCAAAACAAATTAAAATGAACACCAACCGAAACGAAACTCGAATCATTGTTGTGTTGGGTTACTGTTTAAAGCATGTCATTGATGTTTAAGGATGGTGAGAGCTTGTTGAGTTGTGTTTTTTTTGCATGGACTGATTGCTAAGTTGTGAAGTAGTTTCGAAACGGAGTTGATCAGAACATGTTCTTTGTATGTTGGGTGATTGTTTGCAAGCTAGAGAAAAAAATGTGGTGGCGTGGACGAGGAGCAGTCGGAGTGTGTCGGAGATGGAAACAGAAATAGGAGAAGTGTGGTTTGAAGGGTGGCAAAGTGAAGAAGAAGGAGAAGGTGTTTGTGATATTGGTGGTGGTGGTTCCGAAGAGAGTGTCAGGGTTGACACTGTGGGATGAGGAGATTGAGAAACACGTCGGTCAGGTGAAGGGTGGCGAACAGAAGTTTTAGGTGGTGAGGTGAAGTCAATGGGTGTGGGATTGATTATGGGGTTTTCGTGGTGAAGGAAAGGGTGGCGCGGGCGATAGAGGCGCAAAGGGTTGAGCAGAGGAAACAAATGGTTGAGTGGAAAAGGATGGGTGGTTGGTGAAGAAGCACATGCAGAGGGAAGAGAAAGGGATGCGTATGTCGCGGATGGAGATTTGCAATGAGGGAGAAGATTGAAGAATATAGAAAATGTTGATGTGCTATAGTGGCGTTCAAAAGATGAAGAAGGAAAACCAAGTTCCTTTTCTTTTGTTTTACATGATTTTTTATTTCAATCTCAAAGAGAGAGAGAGAGAGAGAGAGAGAGAGAGAGAGAGAGAGAGAGAGAGGGGGGGGGGGGGGTCAAACAAATGAAGAGGTGTCATTGGGTATTAGTGCGCCGCGTGTGGTATCAATTGATTGGTCTCTCTCCCCCTTCCAACCAATCACTACTTGTAGCAATAAATAGTAGGGTTTATCAATTAGACAACCCCCAAAATACCCTATAGACATTTTAAGAGATTAAAATGAGTTCAAATTAATTAAACCAATTAAAAAATCAAACCTTTTTTAAATAAACACAATAAAATCAAAATGAAAATATGGTTAATTCTTCTTCTTCTTTTTTTTAACAATTTGATAAAAAAGACAAAAATAAAAAGAAATAAAATGAATAAAATTCAGACACAAAAATGTTTTAAAAAATAAAATGAATGCATTATAATGATCTACGTGAAATAAACTTCGGGAAAACAGACAGATATAAATCAAATTTTACATTAAGAAATGTTCGGTTGAAAAGGCTCAGGCTGATCCAAATGCGAATGCAAACGGGATCGAAAAAATAAAACGAGCATGTTAGGTTAAACTAGGTGAACTGTAGATTAATACAACTGACAGTCGCAAGCTTGATCTCGAAGTTTTTTTCCCGCTAACTTTACACACATTTTTTCTCGACATTTTAAGCATTATGCAGAAAGAAATGCATGCTATGATATGCAGGCGATTCAAATGTCATGTTGAATGTATCAATTTAATGATTCAGGGGGGAAATTAGGGTATGACACTTAGCAAAACCTTCGTGCTTGAGGGACTATGTAGTGTTATATTTGTAAGCGCCCCTACAAGGACGTCTTCACCCGAGTGAGGCATCAATTATGAGATATCACATGAGGATAAGGGGCTCGCCGTTAGTAATGATGACGTGTAAATGCCGTTAGTTGAATGAGAGCAAGTCCCTCACTACCTTTGAAAGATTAGGCGGTCTATAAATACATCTTCTCCAGGAGAGAGGAGACAGATCTTAAGCGATACAGATCACACTCCCATATGCATTTATACACAACCAACCACTCTGTAACAATGTATCTCACTTCATGTGAGCAAGTTCTTAAAACTACTAAAAACCACCACCGCACAAAGTTTCTCACCGTTGTGAGCAAGCCTTAACCGTCGTTATTTGTTATACACCTACAAAGGCCTTTGAATCCCCCTGTCTTTGTAGGAGAAACACACTCTTGTACTTTTTACCATTATAAAGGGGAACATCGCGTAGGCCAGTAGATGTTTTAGCGTATGGTTGGGTAGGAAGGAAACATGTATGTGTGTGTTTGATTGAGATTTTCCTACTCATGGGACTGAGGATTGAAAGTTTTATCCGTGATCAAACATAAGAAAATGTATTTCGACAATCAATATATTTTTATACCATTTACCTTTAACAATTTTGGTTTCCTAACACTAGAGATAATGAATATTTTACATAAAATCTGAAAACTTGTACATAATAATGTTCTGTCTTTTGGAACAATCGATATACTCTCTCAGTTCCACAATGAGGAACAATCGATATACTCTCTCAGTTCCACAATGAATAACACATTGCCCATTTTATACATATTTAGAGAATATTTTTTTACCAAAGTACTCATTATCAAATATTGAGAATGATTAACGTTATAACAATTAAAAAGTAAAATTAGAAGAAAAAAATAATAATTTATATTATAAATTCAAATGAATCATTCATTTTATAGTACTGGTGAAATTCATTTTCTATTTTATTATATATTATAATCAAAACATATTTAAAAAATAGAATAATTTATAAATCAAACTCAATCTAATAAAAATCATCTCACAATATTTACAGAAATGCAATAAAAAGTGAATAAATGTAATTTTCTCCTCTCTATCCGAACCATTCAATTTTGTACAACACATTAGTTCAAAATATTGAAAATAATTTGAATGGAACAGATGACCCTCTCGTAAAACTTTCAAGTTTCACTGCAGAGAATTCATTCCCATAGTTTGAATACAAATGTCTCAATTCTCAACCAGTCTGACTCCACGTGTTAAACTGCATGTTGAGCTTCACCATTGCATGTTGCCACCTTTCTCTCTCACTTTTGAATTTACAGTTATACCCCTTATCCCACTCACCGCCATACATCACCTACATAAACACACTGCATCGTCAGGCAATGTTAAAATCGCCATTACTCCGTTCAAGCTCCGTGAAAGAACCACCGCGGAAGCAAGCAGAGAAATACAGAGGTAGATAGTTGCACCACAAAGACGGTGGCGATGGCTCTCACCTGCTATGCACGTGTTGCAATCTTCCTCTGTGCTCTAACCCTGTCAACTTCCCTCCACCGAACCTCTTCCAACCACGAAACCTTGATTCAAGACGTAGCTAGAAAGCTCGAGCTCAAAGACAACGAGCTTCTAAACACAGAGAAGAAGTTCAAACTTTTCATGAAAGATTACTCCAAAAAATACTCCACAAGACAAGAGTACCTGCTACGTCTCGGAATTTTCGCCAAAAACATGGTGAAAGCCGCGGAAAACCAAGCTCTTGATCCCACCGCCATCCACGGCGTTACACAATTCTCTGATCTCTCCGAGGAGGAGTTTGAACGTTTCTATACCGGCTTTAAAGGCGGTTTCCCTTCTAGTAATGCTGCCGGCGGAATAGCGCCGCCTTTGGATGTAGAAGGCTTGCCGGAGAATTTTGATTGGAGAGAAAAGGGAGCTGTTACTGGAATCAAGACGCAGGTGCATAAGTTTATAACAATTTGTTTCAGTTATTATGTTTACTGCACATGCATGCATGTTTGGAATTTCTAGATTTTCTTTTTATTCTTATTTTTTGAATTTTTTTATGTGATTATTTTGACATAGGGTCGATGTGGATCTTGTTGGGCTTTTAGCACTACAGGATCAATAGAAGGAGCCAATTTTCTTGCGACCGGGAAGCTTGTGAGTCTTAGTGAACAACAACTTGTGGACTGTGACAACAAGTGTGACATAACTACGGCATCATGTGACAATGGTTGTAATGGAGGTCTTATGACAACTGCCTATGATTATTTGATTGAGGCTGGCGGATTAGAGGAGGAAACTTCGTACCCTTACATCGGTGATCGAGGTGAATGCAAGTTTGATCCAAGCAAAATAGCTGTTAGAGTCACAAATTTCACTAATATTCCTGTGGATGAGAATCAAATTGCTGCATATTTAGTTAACCATGGTCCACTTGCAAGTAAGTCCCTTTAATTAAATATATGTGTATGTGTATGAGAACATAACATGACACTAGACACAACACTGACTGATATTTTGGTAAACGGATAATGTGCAGTTGGGTTGAATGCGATTTTCATGCAAACATACGTTGGTGGTGTATCATGCCCTCTAATCTGTAGCAAGAGAAGGTTGAACCATGGTGTATTGCTAGTGGGATATAATGCACAGGGTTTCTCCATTCTTAGGCTTAGGAAGAAACCATATTGGATCATCAAGAATTCGTGGGGGGAACAATGGGGAGAAAAAGGGTATTACAAGCTTTGCAGAGGGCATAGTATGTGTGGAATGAACACAATGGTTTCAGCTGCCATGGTGGCTCAAGTACAACCTGCTGAGAATAAGTCCTATGCTTCCTATTAGCTACCTAGTTCTGTTTTTGCCTTGCTATATGGAGACAGAAAATGTGTGGACTATTTGCAACAAGTTCTTGTCATAGCAAAAAATAGTTCCTATTAGGTGATGTATGTAAACATTTCACTAGATTATAATAAGTTTGCATCTCCTAGTTTAATAGATCTTAGAATATATATCATGTTGAGATAGATGGCAGAAAAACCTCAAATGCAGGTAGTTATATGCTTAGCTAAAATAAAATAGACCCTTTTTCTCTCATCTTGTGACTTGTAAGTTTCAAATAAAATAGACCCTTTTTCTCTCATCTTGTGACTTGTAAGTTTCAATAGCAATGTTTTAAAACATCGGTTTTAAGCAAACACGTTGTTCTTTTCAATGAATTTATCTATAAAAGGCCTAGAGTTTTATAGTAAGAGCTTGCAGTCATTGCGATTGAGTAGATTTAACAGATTTAGACAAATCTACCGGACAAGGGAATATTATAGCAAGAGCTTTGCAGTCTTGCGATTGAAAAGATTTAAACAAATCTATCGATCATGCCCCACAATTTGAAACCAAAGACTCTCATTCCCAACTTGAGTGGGTATAAAATTGGATAATGTAGCTCAAATGTTAATTGTGTGGAAAAAATTGGCTAATTCATTTTAAATATTGGTTAATGAACTCACAAATATAAAATAAAAAGAAGGAAAATTCTTGTCTACCCTTGTAAATTGGGGTAATTTATTCCAAATGAGTATATGATTTGATTTTTGAGTAGTAAAATGTTGGTTGACATGTCAACTGAGAGGAGATACATATCCGATGTCTTATAATTTTGGGTTATAAAATTTTACTGATCCAATGTAAAAAATTTCACTTTATGTGACAAAATTAGGGTAATCTAAGTCTCGCCAAAAGAGAAATGGGCTAATATGGTTGGTATATTGATTAATGAGTTCACAATTTTGAGTTAATATGTGATTTAAAATTTTAGTTTGTGACAAATTTCATTGTTATATGTCATTTGGGGTAAATTACCTCTAATTTTATGGTAATCTAAGCCTCATCAAAAGAAATGGGGGTTAATATAGTTCAAATATTGATTAATGAGTTCACAAATATATATATATATATATATATATATATATATATATATATATATATATATATATATATATATATATATATATATATATATATATATATATATATATATATATATATAGTTATATATATATATAGTTATATATATTTAAATATATTTTTGGTTTTTATAAATTTTTTTAAAAAAAAAAAAAAACTAACAAGTTTTAGTCATTAATAAAATAATTATGCACATAATTTTAGTCTTTTTATTGTTAAATTAATGTGTATATTTGATGTGTATTTTTGAATGATTATTTTACAGATATATTTAGAACGTTAATATAAATGTCAATATAAATATTAACTATGAATTATAGTTCTAATATTTTAAAATCTATTTATTTTCTATATTTCGTGCTCCAGATACTATAATAAATATCTGACGAATAAAGTCATTTATCTTATTTTCTATATTTCGTGCTCCAGATACTAGAATAAATATATGATAGATAAAGTCATCGAATAAATATCTGACAGATAAAGTCATCTATCAAGATAAGATGATATATTCATTTTACGTTTTTTACTATCAATAAGATTCATTATAATAGTCACTCGATCATATTCCAGAAATCGATCATATTTCGGAAATAGAGAAACTAAGAAGTTTCGTGGTCCAAAAACAAGGAATTTAAAATTTAATTTTATAAATCAAAATTTTTATTATTTTTATTATTACTTTTTAAAATTTTAAAAATTATATAATTAGATAAATAAATATTTTATAATAATTTAAACACGTATGAAAAAATTATTCAAAAATTTAAAATTTTAAAAGTAATTAAATAATTTTTAAAACTTTAAATAATAATAAAGATTAAAATTGCATGTATAAAATTTTTGTAGGAACTAAAATATTTTTTTTTTTATAAAAATTAAAATTAAAATGTCAAATATTTATATGAACCAAAACATAATTAACTCTAAAGAAAAAAATTATAAGAAAAAAACAAGTAAATTACAAGAAAAATAAAATTCGGTAATTGTGTGAAAAATGTTAGTTGGATAATACATTATAGAAGTGGTTAATAAATTTTGAGACATCAAAGTTCATACATAATATAATTTATTTCTTTTTAATATTATAAATATAATTGAAATTAGGATTACATAATATAATTTATTTTAGGATTACATAATATAATTTATTTCTTTTTAATATTATAAATATGATTGAAATTAGGATTGGAAGTTGATGGTTGATTTTTGTGTTTTTTTTTTAAAAAGCAAAAATTAAATTAAAACTTAATCTAATATAAAGAATGCATAGAGAGAGCGCACCAGTACAATGATACAGAAAAAGAATTTAAAAGAAAACAGTCAAAATGGCTCAACACTAGAACAGAGAACGAGATTTTCTGTCCTGTTTCGCATCCATGTGTAATTTATAAGAATTTCTTAATCCACCCCTTGATACTCTTAGGTATCTAACGAAATTCTTTTTATGTCTCCTGCTTCCGGAGATATATATCCGGACGCACCCTTTTTTACGTTACGTTGGATGTTTCCGGAGACACATCTACAAAAAAAGTTTTCTAAATGCATCTTCGAAATCTTATCATAACAGATTTTTTTATATAAAAAAGTAAGTTTTGTTGGTCGCAAATAGAAATTAATTATTTCAGATGAATATAAAATAACATACATCCGTAAATAAAATAATACATCAATGCCATATGTTATATGTCATATTCATCATCAAAAAATAGTACATCAATGTCATCAAAATATAATACATCAAAAAACATCACAGTCACTACTGTATGTGCTTGACAACACTTGCATCCCCTCCTCGACCTATGCCTCTGCCGCCTCCTCGACCGTCCGGTCTGCGTCCTTGGCCATAGATCCCACCTGTTCTGGCGCGATGCTGATCCGCGGTCGCTCGCGGATCAAAAACGAGTAATTTTAGGAAAATGCAGTACAGCGACAGTGACTCGGAATATCGTCTCACAAGGATTCTTGCAGGAATAATCAAATACAGTAACGAAATATGGGGGGGTTTTGATTAAGATAAAATAAACGAAAAATAAGTGATTAGAAAAGGTGATTGTAGTAATGAGTTGAAACGGCTAATCTACTGTTTTCGTTTCCCAACTTATCATCGATCCTAATAATTCCCAATTTCTAAGCGGATTCTATCCCCTTTCCGATTATAATAACAATCAACAAGCGCAATTGGTATTATACGATACACGTTCCTAATTTTTGAATTAAGCAAACTGATAAAATAGTAACCGTGAATTAAGCAAACACGAGAAACATACGCGGATTAAGCAACCGCGATTAAAGTATAAGAACATGCAATCATCGAAATAAATCAATCATCCCTAAGATAAATCGAATTAAGCAAACAAAATATCATAGAGAAGAATTGAAAGGAAATAGATTTTATTGGAAATTAAAAGAACCTCAAAGTGTTGGCGGGAACCGATTACAGCAGATTAATCCAAAGGAATTAGTTCTCCATAATTCATACAAAGCTCCAACAAATATTTTCGTGAATAGTGAATAGGATACTTGGTTGTACGGCCAGACCTAGACTAAAGAGGATAAAAACCAGAATTCGGGTCATAACCCAACTGGGTCGAAAATATAACCCAGACCCAAAACATGACCCAAAACTAAAACAAATTCCTAATGCTGTAACTTGAAACGGAATTCTGGAATTTTCAGCTCCGAATCTGATTTCAGCTCCAACGCGAAAGTCGTAGCTCTCTCTCTTAGCTTTCCGGCGATTTTTAGAACGCCTCAAACGGATTCCCGGAGCTCCAGTTATGATCGTTTCCGTGCAGACTGCTAAAGCTGAAAAATAAGTGCAAAAATTAAATTAAACCAAAAATAAAATAAAATATGAAAACATAATAAAATATAATAATAAGCAAAATAAAGTAAAGAAATGCCTAAGTAAAAATATAGGAGAATGTGCATGAATATGCACTGATCAGATGCCTACGGTACATAAGTGCCTCCGCTACCACTACAATCATGTCATCCAATACACGCTTGTGGTCAGACCTTTTAGGGAAGAAATCGACGGCAATCTCTGCCTGCTCCATCTCCACTATCTGACGACAGCGAGGTAGGACATCTTGACTGTGGTCCAACTGAGACTGCTGCTCCTCTAAAATCTCTTGATGAGTTGGTCTGGGTGGTGATTCTTCGGCAGTGGTCACCATGTATGGGTGTGAGACGGTCAAGAAGCACATGATGTAGCCATCAATGTAACTCCAGTTTTTCGGCGCTCTAGTCGCCCGAGCCTCGTCAGGTACCATATGCCTCGGGTAGTCGGTATAGATCTCCTCTATCTGTATATGGGTCAAGTCGAGAGGAGCGGAGACAATTGGGTGCCTGTGAATGGTCTGAGTGTTGTGAATGGTCTGAGTGTAGCCGAAATGACGTATGACGCGCTCGACAAATATGGAACAATGATGGTCGAACTGCATGTCCACCATCCTAAGAATAAGGAGATGTCGTCAAATAGGCGCTTCACACGGTGATCAGCATAGACCGGTAGACATCCTCAACAACCAGACAATCGAGATAGACTCTGTAAGGGTCGACCGCCTGGTTCCCCCTGAGCGGGAGAAAGGCACTGGCACGCGACATCATCTTTGTGTAATCTGGCACACTCTTCCACCCGACGATCATGGGAAAGTGCTGAAATATCCAAGTCTGAAATGAAAATAAGAAACATTGGGATCAAACATTATCATGAATGTAGAATGAAAAGAAATGAAAAAAAGTCGAAGGATATAAGATTGTTATCACAAGTAGTGCCACACTTCCTGCCACAGTCCTGATTTTCCATAGGCATCCCTATCCCAGCCTCGAATACGTTTAAGCCAGGGTAGGCGCCCCCTAGTTGTACTCATGGA